ACAGGTTGGCCACCCCTGTACTAAAGGATTGGTAACAGCATGATTTTATTGGGTAAGATCTGGGTTGTATATTGACCTGGGTATGTGGCTGGTCCTCTGGGATCAGAAGAATCCTTTTGTTTGATGAAATTGGTTTTAAATAACCACTCATCATTAAGTCTAGTGTCTGGGTATTGAATCCAGGACTGGAATACCTAAGGAGGCTGCATTTCTGACTTCTTGTTAGCCAGTGTGGGGAGACAGAAGTTAACTTTTGTTGCTGGTTTAGTATATCTCATGGAAGAATAACCACCAGTTTTGTGGTGTGTCTGCCCTTTTTCCCAGCAGCTTGTCCTGAATTTGGTATTGTCTGTTGTGACCCACTGAGGCATGGTGACACCCTGATCCTGATTGGGGCCTCTGGCCACTACCATGAAACAAGGAAAGGAGTACTTGTGGCACCTTAGAGACTAACAAATTTAGATGCATCTGATGAACTGAGCTGTAGCTCACGAAAGCTTATGCTCAAATAAATTGGTTAGTCTCTAAGGTGCCACAAGTCCTCCTTTTCTTTTTGCGAATACAGACTAACACGGCTGCTACTCTGAAACCTACCATGAAACCGATATTCATCATGGCGTGGGTATAGCCAGCCTCAACTACATCTGCTCTGTCAGCACAAAGAGGAGGAGGGGCTCCTGGTACCATGTCACCTACCTCATAGGAGTTGTGAGTCCTCCCCAGTGCCCTCAGCCTGCCTCCTTCTGTGAGTCACCCTTGCTGACTTCCGGCAATAGGGGAGCAGCCTGCAGCACATGAATGGAAACAGACCAACCCCTTGAAGCTCTGCTGGGGACCTGGGCCCCCTGGACACCCCATCTGGAGAGGCAATGCAGGAGCCTATGGACCCTACTGCCCTGGAATGACAATGGAATGTGATTCTGGGCCACTAAGTGCATGGCTGCTGGCACCCAGACCATGCTGGACTCAGTACAGAAGCAGCAAAAGGGAAAAGGGGTGTCTCTCTCTACCTAGAGGGGCCCCCACAAAGCGGGGATGTCTGTGGAGAACCAGCAACTGAGACAGAAATGACTTCCCTGACTCAGAAACCCTGCTGCCTCCTGGGGAGGCGGCTTGGACTTGTCCACCTGCCTTTTGGGCAGCCATGAATCAAGAGCAGAAGCTGTCAGACTAGATGGGTGGGGACCAGCTTGGCAGGTCACATGCTCCCACACTCACCCCCTTGAACCTGACAGCATAACAGCAAAGTGGATGTGACTAGGGAGCTGGAAGGGGGGTGGGGAAACCTCTGACCCTAGGCACTGGATGCACAGAGCCTCTTTGCTTCCCCACGCTGCTAGCTAGCTCTTGGGGGGCCCAGGCCAGAGAAATGGGAGTGAGTAAAGCTGAAGACTCTTCACCATCTAGGGTGACCAGGTGTCTGGTTTTGGACCAGAACACCCGGTCAAAAAGGGATCCTGGCGGCTCCTAGCCTTAGGGGTGGCCAGCGGGGTCTGCATGCTGCCCTGCCCCCCGCCCGCCGGCGCAGCTCCCATTGGCTGGGTCAGAGCAGGGGAGGAACTAGCACGAGCGTGACTCACGAGCGCTCAGCAGGCGGCTGTTGAGGGGTCGCGTGACCCGCGCCTCTCCCGCTGCTGCCTGGCCTCTTCTCCTCGCATGGCTGGGCTTGAGCTGCAGCATGTGCCCTGCAGCAAACCGCGGTCTGTCTGCCGCCCCATCGCCAGCACCCAGGAGTGCAAGGTGTGTGTATCTCCGTCTCCGAGTGCTGGGAACGGAGCTGCACCCCTATCCCCCTCACTGCATCCCTCCCCGTCCCAACCCCCGCCCCCGCACTCCCATCCTCCCATCACCATATCCCTCAGTGAGAGGCAAAAAGGCATTCTTTAAAAAGTGGAAGATAAATCCTAATGAGGAAAATAGAAAAGAGCATAAACTCTGGCAAATGAAGTGTAAAAATATAGTTAGAAAGACCAAAAAAGAAATTGAAGAACAGCTAGCCAAAGACTCCAAAAGTAATAGCAAAAAAATTTTTAAATACATCAGAAGCAGAAAGCCTGCAAAACAACCAGTGGGGCCACTGGATGATCGAGATGCTAAAGGAGCACTCAAAGACGATAAGGACATTGCGGAGAAACTAAATGAATTTTTTGCATCGGTCTTCACTGTTGAGGATGTGAGGGAGATTCCCAAACCTGAGCCATTCTTTCTGGGTGACAGATCTGAGGAACTGCCCCAAATTGAGATGTCATTAGAGGAGCTTTTGGAACAAATTGATAAACTAAACAGTAATAAATCTCCAGGACCTGATGGTATTCACCCAAGAGTTCTGTGGTTGTGCTCTATGGATTTGTACTTGGGCTTCGGGAGTGGGCCTTTAATGGACCCATTGCAGCTGTGATAATGTGTGGTCCTAATTCCACACATAAAATTACAATAACTTTAGTGAACAAAAAACATGGAGCTGGTTACGAGAAATGGGGGGAGGAAAAGAATCATGAAAATTTTTGTGTAATTTCTTTTTTTTTAAATGACCCTTTTTGACTATTTTGCTGCCAGCTCTAGCGTTCTGTAACAAATAAAACCTGAACGTAGCGTAATACAGCTGTCGGAAGAACTACGCCTGTTTGGGCCTCGCTGTTAAAATGAGCACGTGAGAGAGAGTGGGGGAGAGCAAGTGATGGAGGGAGGGGGGATGGAGTGAGCAGGGGGTGGGGCCTCTGGAAGGGGCGTGGCAGGGGCAGGGCCCCAGGGAAGGGGCGGGGCAGTGGGCGGGGCAAGGTTGTTCCACCGTCTGGCATTAGAAAGTTGGCAACCCTATGGCTGCCTAGGCCTCTGGTACCCACGGGAGACTGAGGGCAAAAGTTTGTCTTGTTTGATGCAAGGCAGGGGTTGAGTTTCATGGGGCTAAGGACAGGAGTAGGAACCGGGAGGGTTTCTGTGTGTGATCTTGGGCAAGTCCCTTCTCCTCTCTCTGCAGTGAGGAGAGTGACACTTTGCTGCCCCCAGGAGCATGTGCAGGCCCCATTTTCAGGACAGAAATGCCTGCTCTTCTTCTGGGCATCTCTGGGATGCTAGGCTGAAAGGTCACTTGAAGTGCAGAGTAAAATACCAGCACGGTTCAGAACTGCAAGATGTGCCCAGTTCCTTTATATCAACCTCCACTTGATGTGAGGCCTCCGCTCCTTCGCTGGGTGCTCCTGACCCTCACCTGTCTGTCCACCTCCTCACCCACCCTGCCGAGGGCAGGTCGAGTCCCCTCCATGAGAGCAGAACAGGCAAGGAAAGGCCTAGAACTAAATCTGAAGCAACACAGACCTTACTTGGTTCCTGGGCAGACGATTCCCTTCCTGCCTTGCACCCTATACTGCGTTGCTGTGTCCTGTGAAACAGCTGCCATGCTCCACCACAGAGCCAGCTGCATTTCAGGAGGGAAGCGATTCATGTACACAACGTAGAAAGAGTTCTGAGATATTACACACACACGGGCCATGCAATATTATTGTTGTTCTCCACAGTTTGTTCCCAACTTGAGAGCAGAACTTTCTCTAGTAGAAAGAACAGGAGGACTTGTGGCACCTTAGAGACTAACAAATTTATTTGAGCATAAGCTTTCATGGGCTACAGCTCACTTCATTGGATGCATTCAGTGGAAAATACAGTAGGAAGATTTTAAAAGCTTATGGGAACACCCCCTCCCCATGGCACAGCCTGACCAGGGGGGTCTGTGGGGTAAGACCCCAGCCCCGCCCCATGGAAGCCTGGTGGGGGGGGGTCGTGGGGAAGCCGCCCGCCCCATGGCACAGCCTGACCAGGGGGGTCTGTGGGGTAAGACCCCAGCCCCGCCCCATGGCACAACCTGGCCGGGGGGATCTATGGGGTAAGACCCTGGCCCCGCCCCATGGCACAGCCTGGAGCGGGGGGGGTCTGTGGGGTAAGACCCCGGCCCTGCCCCATGGCACAGCCTGACCAGAGGGGTCTGTGGGGTAAGACCCCGGCCCCGCCCCATGGCACAGCCTGGCCGGGGGGATCTATGGGGTAAGACCCCGGCCCTGCCCCATGGCACAGCCCGGGGGGGTCTGTGGGGTAAGACCCCGGCCCCGCCCCATGGCACAGCCTGGCCGGGGGGGGAGGTCTGTGGGGTAAGACCCCGGCCCTGCCCCATGGCACAGCCTGGCTGAGGAGAGGGTCTGTGGGGTAAGACCCCGGCCCTGCCCCATGGCACAGCCTGACCAGAGGGGTCTGTGGGGTAAGACCCCGGCCCCGCCCCATGGCACAGCCTGGCCGGGGGGATCTATGGGGTAAGACCCCGGCCCCGCCCCATGGCACAGCCTGGCCGGGGTGGGGGAGGTCTGTGGGTAAGACCCCGGCCCTGCCCCATGGCAAGCCTGACCAGAGGGGTCTGCGGGGTAAGACCCTGGCCCATGGACAGCCGGCGGGGGGGGAGGTCGTGGGGTAAGACCCCGGCCCTGCCCCATGGCACAGCCTGGCCGGGGGGATCTATGGGGTAAGACCCCGGCCCTGCCCCATGGCACAGCCTGACCAGAGGGGTCTGCGGGGTAAGACCCCGGCCCCGCCCCATGGCACAGCCTGGCCGGGGGGATCTATGGGGTAAGACCCCGGCCCCGCCCCATGGCACAGCCCGGGGGTCTGTGGGGTAAGACCCCGGCCCTGCCCCATGGCACAGCCTGACCAGAGGGGTCTGCGGGGTAAGACCCCGGCCCCGCCCCATGGCACAGCCTGGCCGGGGGGATCTATGGGGTAAGACCCCGGCCCTGCCCCATGGCACAGCCCGGGGGGGTCTGTGGGGTAAGACCCCGGCCCCGCCCCATGGCACGGCCTGGCGGGGGGGCGGTGGGTGGGGCCATCGTCCCCCTTCCTCCCAGCCTGCGGCCCGCCTGGCCCCGCCCCCGCCGCGTGACGGCCAATGGTCATGTTGTCCACCCCAAACCCCGCCCCCCGGGGGCCTCCCCGCGCATGCGCCCGGCGCGCCGCCCGGGCTGGGTCCGGCCGAGGGAAGATGGCGGCGGCTGGGGCTCGGCGCCGCCGGCTGGAGTCTGACGTGGGGGCGGCCGCTCTGGCCGCGGTATGAGCCGCCCGGCCCCGCCCCAGCGCCTCGCTGCTCCCGGCTCGGCCAGGCCTCGCCATGGCCCGGCTGGCGGATTACTTCGTGCTGGTGGGCTACGAGCTGGACAAGCGGGGTGAGTGCCGGGCGGGGGGGGCGCACCGGGGGGGGTGAGTGCCGGGCCGGGGGGGGGCGCACCGGGGGGGGTGAGTGCCGGGCCGGGGGGGGGCGCACCGGGGGGGGTGAGTGCCGGGCCGGGGGGGGGGAGTGCCGGGCCGGGGGGGGGCGCACCGGGGGGGGTGAGTGCCGGGCCGGGGGGGGCGCACCGGGGGGGAGGGCGTGCCGGGCCGGGCCGGGGGGGGGCGCACCGGGGGGGGGTGAGTGCCGGGCCGGGGGGGGCGCACCGGGGGGGGGGCGAGTGCCGGGCCGGGGGGGGCGCACCGGGGGGGCGAGGGGGGGGGGCGCACCGGGGGGGCGAGTGGGCGGGGGGGCGCACCGGGGGGGGGGGCGAGTGCCGGGCCGGGGGGGGCGCACCGGGGGGGCGAGTGCCGGGCCGGGGGGGGCGCACCGGGGGGGGCGAGGGCCGGGCCGGGGGGGGGCCGGGCCGGGGGGGGCGCACCGGGGGGGCGAGTGCCGGGCCGGGGGGGGGCGCACCGGGGGGGGCGAGGGCCGGGCCGGGGGGGCGGGGAACCGGGGGGGCGAGTGCCGGGCCGGGGGGGGCGGGGAACCGGGGGGGTGAGTGCCGGGCCGGGGGGGGGGGGGAACCGGGGGGGGCGAGTGCCGGGCCGGGGGGGGGGGAACCGGGGGGGCGAGTGCCGGGCCGGGGGGGGGGGAACCGGGGGGGTGAGTGCCGGGCCGGGGGAGGAACCGGGGGGTCGAGTGCCCGGGGGAGGAACCGGGGGGTGACCGGGGGGGAGTGCCGGGCCGGGGAGGGGAACCGGGGGGGGGTGTGAGGGCCGGGCTGGGGGGGGGCGCAGGGAAGCAGGGGGACAGCAGGGTCCGCCGGCGGTTGGGTTCAGTCCCTTGGCGCCGACGGGTTTGGGAGGCAGCCCCGGTTCGGGGGGGGGCTTGGGGAGCCGGCCTGGGTGAGTGCGGGCGGGGGGCACCGTAGTGGAAAAGGGGTTTGGGGGCGGTGTTGCCTGGGCTGGCCTGTGGGGTGGGGGGTGAGTGCTGGAGGGGGGAGCTGGCCTGGGGGTGCTGTGGGGGTGGGGGGTGAGTGCTGGAGGGGGGGAGCTGGCCTGGGGGTGCTGTGGGGGAGGGGGGTGAGTGCTGGAGGGGGGGAGCTGGCCTGGGGGTGCTGCTGGGGCTGTGGGGGAGGGGGGTGAGTGCTGGAGGGGGGGAGCTGGCCTGGGGGTGCTGCTGGGGCTGTGGGGGAGGGGGGTGAGTGCTGGAGGTGGGGAGCTGGCCTGGGGGTGCTGTGGGGGAGGGGGGTGAGTGCTGGAGGGGGGAGCTGGCCTGGGGGGTGCTGTGGGGGGAGGGGGGTGAGTGCTGGAGGGGGGGAGCTGGCCTGGGGGGTGCTGCTGGGGCTGTGGGGGGAGGGGGGTGAGTGCTGGAGGGGGGGAGCTGGCCTGGGGGGTGCTGCTGGGGCTGTGGGGGAGGGGGGTGAGTGCTGGAGGGGGGGAGCTGGCCTGGGGCTGTGGGGGAGACCGGTGAGTGCTGAGATGCAAGGCTCTTTGCAGTGGGGCAGTGAATGCAGATGGGCCCTGGCCATCGGGGCCAGGTGGGGAAGAGGATTAGCCTGTGGTTGAGCAGGGCTTGGTGGGAAGAAGTGGGTGCTCATGTTGGCAGTGTAGGGAAGGAGAAAGGAGGCAATGGAGAGCATATGGTAACTGTTGCAGGACTAGACAGTGGCAAAGGGAATCAAGTAAGTTTTGGACAAATTCAAAGGAGTGTGTGTGTGTGGGGGTGGTTTGAAGCAGAGGGTTGGGGACAAGGTCCTGAGAGTTCCAGATAGTTGGAGAGAGAAACAAAATAGTGCATTGCATGGAGGTGGTTCTACTGGAATGGTGGAAGTAGGGCACTGCCCTTGCTAACTTCTGCCCCCACTTGTCCCTGTGCGTGGACTGGATTAGCTAGTAAAAGGAACAAGTTAGGTTTGCTGGAAAGGTAATAGGGGCCATATTCCGTGTGGCAGTTTACACAATTGCATGACTTGACTCTGGTTGACTCCATGATTTCTTTGTGCAGATGCACATAAGTCTTCCCACTGGCGATTATGTCTCTGGGTCTTGGTCAAGACCAGCTACTCCTGTAGGGAAAGCCTTTCATCTGATTGCCTGGGGAAGTCCCGGAGAGTTCTGCCTGGAGATAAGGAGCCCCAGGTCCTGTTTGTGGTAGAAAGTTGGCAAGAGACCATGAACTTTGAGGAGGGCTGCTGTACAGTATATCCTGACAGTGCTTGGGATTGGTTTCCATTCTGAAATGCCAATATCCTGCTGGATGCTGACAGAATATTTATATCTGGGGCATCCCAGCAGGAGGTGGGTTGAGTTAAATTTGGTATGATGGGAGTTTGGAGGCTCTTACTGTAAATTGGCTTCCAATGTCTGCTAGTCCAGTACTCGTCTGCGTTCACTTTTTCTCATTATTTTGCTCTTCTGACTTTTCCTTTGTCTGTCTAGTTACTGCAGATGTCTTAGTTTTTTGGCTGAAGGAAGTGGGCAGTAGGTAGGACCAGATGACTCCATTCTGAGGAAGTGAAGTATATCTATAAATCTGGCAATATATTTAGTTTAATCTTTGAAACTCATTATAGTATGTCCATGTCGAGCCAGTTCTGGTGTTTAGAGCAGAAAATTGTCATATCAGCTTGTGCTACTGACCGCTTTGTTTGTATTTGAGCTGGTCACTGAATTTACTTCTCAGACTGGCTCATTGAAGCCACCTTCTTCTATGAGGAGGAGAACTGGGAGCAGTTTTTCAACAGACATGCTTAGAGTTTGACAGTGCCTCTGACTCTGGAAGGGCCATAGGAAGGGCTTTTTAAGAATTGGTTTGTATGTCACTATTATAAATTGGCTGACAGATAACACGTTCAGAAAACAGACTCCTGTCAAAGGAGTTATAGCAATTCCGTAGTAGTACAGATGTGCACCTGGGCAGACTCTGTGCCTTGAGGGCCTGAATCATCTGGTCTCCAAATACTGTATGGGTAGACTTGGTTCTTAGTCTTGCTCTGGATGCTTAATTGTATTTTGTTGTCCTGTATTTTTACCTGCTCTGGAGGCCGGATGATGGCTATGTCTCCATTACTCATTGTGGTATCAGTGGCTTATGCTTCATTGGTTAGTGCCAGTTTTATGGTTTATGTGTTTGGAAATTGAGTTTTAGAACTCATTCTAAAATTGTGATCTGGGCTTCTGTTCTTTTTTTTTAAGTAGATGTGGGTTGTTTGGGGACAGGGTGGGGTTCTCTTTCATCAGAGAAAAGAGGGTTGGGTGTGGGTGGAGAGGTGGAAGGAGAATAAAGTAACAGGTAATCAGCAGCTAGCTTTATAGGTGCTCATAAGGTTGACACTGAGGACCTGTCAGTGCTGACTAGTTTGGATGCAATCCTGCAATTCCTGCTGTAGTCTCTCTTTGAAAACAGATGGGAGTCTCAGTGTTAACTAGTCAATGTGGGAGTCTGTATTGGCCTTGCCTGTGCTGAATGCCTAGGCCCTCGGCTGAGAGTCGATAAGATGCGTTCTGTTCTCCTGAAGGCTGCACCAGTTTGTGTTAATCTTGCCTAATTCCCTTCATGGCAGAATTCCTCTCCTCACCCCTACAGTCAGTAAGAAAACGGTGTCACCAGCTGCTATTTCCTAAATAGCAGCAGCCAGAGATGGAAGGGAGAATTTGAAATCCCTGACCACTGCAGGCCTAACACATTCACATGTCACATGCTCCACCATAGGGAGAAAGTGGCTTCTGTTCAATGATTGCTTAAACTGTCTCTCTAATTGAAGAGCTGCATTGTATCCATTTCTAGCTCAGTCTGAAATTTAACAGGCCTCCAAGCTTGTATTGGCTCTTCCAAGCAGTGTCAGGCATAATAGGATTTAATTATGCAGAGTCTTTTGTGACATCACTGAAGAAAAGATAATGTGATCACAGGTAGATGCCTTCATGTGGGGCTAAAGAGATGGAGCTGACAAGCTCAAAGGGACTGAGATTCTATTTTTGTGCAAGCTTCTCTAACAGAAAATGAGAAGAAAAATCCAGAGCCTAGGATATGTATGGGAAATGTTTTGTGAGATTCTCAGAAGGGAATCCTGGTGTGCTTGTAAGGGGCTTGTAGACACAATGTTGTTAAGAAACCTCATGGTTGGGAAAACACTGCAAAATTTCTGGAACTGGAGCAGGTGTGAAGGGGTTAGGTTAGGGACTTTACTGAGTTCTCCCATCCCTCCTATGCCTACCACTGTTTAGAGAAGAACAGGCAGTGACACTGCATCCTATGTGAAGTGTGGGGGCAAGATGATGAGCTCTGTCATCTGGACAATGAGATGGGATTAACTTGAGATGGCTCCATCAAACTGAGCGAGAAACAGTTTTTACAAAGTCCAAACTACCCATGGCTGAATCTCAGCAGGTGAAAAAGTGAGCAGCATTGGCACATTTTTTATCTAATTCTTGCCACGTTAGTTTGATTTTTGTTTAAGTGACTTCCTGGTCGGTGAGCCACGATACGTGTGTAATGTTTCCCAAGGGTTCTGTGCTTCTCCCATAGGGTTGCTTTGCAATGGATCCATTCTGGGCCTGTGTATGTTTCCATCCCTAGTTATGCCTTATGGAGCTGTCTTCACATGCTACTTCCACCTACTCTCCTGAGTTTAATTGTTCCAGATGGAATGAGCTTTATTTACCATAGAAAGGAGATGAATCAGCAGGGACAGAATGTTGTTGAATCCCATTGCACTGATTATACTTGAACATTGGTTATTGATCTTGGGTTTTTAGAACCTTTTGTTCCAGAAGTAAACTGTGTGCAGGGGTCACCTGAAATGCAGCCGCTTCTGGTGAGGAAGGCGGCAGCTGTTGGCTAGCATGAAGGGACACTACACAATAGTCTTGGGGAAAAAAGTAAAGGAGAATCTCAGTTCCAATTGTAACTGGAGGGGGTAAATTTAGGGAGGCAGAATATAATTACCTCATT